TTCCAGTCAGAAAGTTCACGAAAGCAGTCAAGTTGGCCAATCCTACAAAATAGCAGTAGTTTATTCTGGCTCGTCTCTTTCGCTTCTTTGGCTTATTTAATTAACCAATTAAGTATGACATAGTACTGGATTAGTAAATTACTATTTCATAAATTAAGTGCGTGCATTTTACTTATTTTTCACCTAATTCACATTTTAGTAATATATTATAAATGATTCTGTTAACCTTGCTTTCCATCGTCATGCGCTATTTATTGTTCTATAAAAGTTTTCATTTAGAACACTAATATTGTAAACTTATACTGCTTCGAAAGGAAAGAGTTTAAGGAACTTAGAGATGTTCAATTAGTATTTACTAATTTATGCAATAGGGACAGAACTTCTGATTAAAGCGGACAAAAAAAATTTGGAAAATTATGTGCAAAACATTTATGATACACGTTTGAAATACTTCAATTTGTATGTTGCACTCATACGATTTTAAATTCCTCTTTCTTAAGCCTCTTATTTTCTTACTGGATAATTATTTTAGTTATCTAGTAGGGTTCCTCACACATTTTGGCTAAAGTACATGTCAAGGAATCTAGTGAACTGCTAAGCGACTTATCGCTGATTTCAAATAACTAAAGACAGAGACTCAGGAAGTGGTAACTACCCTTTATTTTAGTGAAAATAAGATGAACAGTTGGCCCGTTTCTCGGGCTTACAACAAAGTCTCCACTCGGGCTTAAACTCAGAATACGAAATAAGAAACTAACTAACTAAAAGAGACTTAGCCGAAGGTAACACTAGTATCTAACGTAGTTGGCCCTTAATTTAAACTAGCCGGTAAATATCAAAAGGCACGTTAATATACTGCCGAGCACAACAGTTTCAAGAGAGATTTAGCACGAAGGCAAACATGCGTTACTCAGTATTACTAGCTCTCTCTCTCACGAAGTAAGTTGAACATTCCTTAAATACTTCTTCTAACTTATTTGTATTCAACGCGATTCTAAAAACTCATTCTGGTAGGCAGTTGTAAGTGGAAACAAAAATCGACAGGAAAAGCACATTGAAATGAAAATAGTAAATGTTATAAAATTAAAATATACCTTACAATCTTTTTCGTATGCAGCTAGGTTTCTAAATTTTGGCTACTATAATTCATGTCTTTTAATTCTATTCTTTTCTAACCTATTTTTCTAATAAATGTATTAATTTATTGTACCGAAGATTTATTTTGCAAGCAACGTTTATTTGTTGCAGTCTGAGATTATGACTCTTTATCCACCATAATGCATTGAAGCATTTACCATAAAACCATGCCATATGTTTTTTGTCCAAAAATATAAGTATATATTTCGGAGATATGTTGCCTGGGAAACGCCCGAGATGTTTTCGGTTATAGCACCTTCTTTATGACAACGTCTTTTGCCGTTAAGAAATTATTTCATATTTCTTTATTATGCCGATTATTTCCTAAGACTGAAAAAGAAATTGCGGGGAAGATAACGGTATTGATTTTACAAATGGCTTGGAAAAAGCTCGAATGGATTGGTGATGGTTCTTTAGGATAGGTAGTTAGATAGGTGGCACTAGCCGCTGAGTTTAGTTTAGTATGTATATGTGTATGTGTATATTTATACAGATACACAAACAATGTATGTACACCGAGTTTAAAAACAGGAAAAAAAGTGGGACTGTTCTACTCGTATATCTCTCTTTCTAGTCGGTCTATGTGGGAAATTCAACTTTCAATTTTCATACCTCGAAAGCTCGAGTTAAGATATATATTAGATTTATCCATAGCGTTGCTGTAATATGTATATTTCGCAACAAAACCGGACTTTTTTTTGACATGACAGGCTGATTTTTTTCAATATTTCGATTATACAATTCAATTTGTACCAAAGTGCCAATCGTAAAATTCGCAGCCGCTGTTTGTAGTCCAAAGGGGCAATTTGCCCAGAAGAACTATTAATTTCGTTTTGGCATTTTCCATTGATTCACGACAAGCGTTGTTTCACTTTTCAAACTGTTGCCACCCAATATTATCGCCCTGTATTATATTTAAAGAAATTAAGTAATGAATAATCTGCATAAATGCAGATTGTTCATTACTTAATCTCTCATTGTGATAAGACAACGGTACCTAGAGCCGTCAAATTTTGAATAACGTAATTCTCCTGCGAATATGGGCATGTGGAAGCCAAAATGTGAAATTTGGAATTTGTTTTATTATCGATTTCATATTTTGTAAACATTTTTTTATTAACAAACTCAAGGATATCAAAGGAAGCAATGCGGCGATGTACAAGGAAAAAAAAAAATTTTTTTTTTTATCTCCAGCGCGCGACTGTGTATCGGCAATTCTAAAGATAGGCTCATTTTAAAATTATTTTGCAATCTTGTTCTTGAACTGAATTTTATAGTTTAAGTGCGAAGAACATGATATTTAATAAATAAAGGTAACACACAAAATGTTAAAAAACTGCCCTTTGAGCGTATTTTAAAATCTGAAACTCTGAGATTTTTAAAAATATTAAATTTTTTTCAATAGCCCAAAGCGACCTTACACCCAAAGGTCTATTAGACTCAAATCGACATTTTGCGTCGTTTCACTTTCTGCGTTGGTTCATTTTTCAAACTATTGCCACCAAATACTATCGCCATATTTAAAGAAACTAAATAATGAGAAATTTGCATGAATGCATGAATTTTTCTCGCACTGTGAAAAATAACGGTACTTAGAGGCATCCAGTTTTGAATAACGTAGTCCTCTAATCAAACATGGGCACTTGGAAGTCCGAATTTTGAATTTCGAATTGATTTTATTATCTGTTTCAAATTTTGTAAAACTTTAAAAAATTTTTGATTAACAAACTCAACGATTTCAAAGCATACAATTGCAACACTGTATGAAGAAAAAAGTGTCTTGTCTCTAGCGCGCGAGACTGTGTATCGGAAATTCTAAACATATGCTGTTTTTAAATATTTTGTGATATTTCTGTTGAACTGAATTTTATGTGGCTTAAGTGCAAAGAACATGATATTTAATAAATAAAGATAACAGACAAAACGTTAATCTGAAAGCTTTCAATTTTTTATTTTAATCTGGTATACGTCTGTTAGTAAACTGGAAAAAACGCAAAGGTTGTCCAGTAAAAAGTATTGCAATTTCCGTCTGAAGCTGGTCTTTGAGTCTGCAGATTTTGTGTGTAAGGGATTAAAGAGCATAAAAAAGTATAAAAGTAAGTAAAAGAAGGATAGAAAATTTCCACTACCTTACTGTTTCCCAGGAGTAGAAACATCACTAAACAAGTCTGCAAGAAACTATTCTGTCGTTTGGATAGTCTGAGTAAAGTAATAGCAACGAAAGGGATATAATAGTAAATAAAGAGAAGACACGAGAAGCTTCCTATTGTCCCGTTGTGTCTCACATTTTGGATAAGGGACACTAAATAAAACTGCATGAAATAAACTCGGATGGCTGGAAGAAAAAAGCTATTAATGTTAAAGAATTCATCGCATGCACAATTTCATTTTGCCTTACAATGTTTAAGCTTCTGGTACATCTTATTGCACACATACTAAAAAAAGACAATTCTACATTTCCCATTCTACTGGGCCGACTAACTTGCGTTTTTCGTGTCTCGAAAGCGAGACTTAGGATTCATCTTGTATTTATATATAACATCATTATGGCATAAGTATTTGATACAAAGTTCGACTTTTTTTGAAATGGCATAACTTGTTCCCCACATATATGATTCTGTGAGTCAAATTATGCCCAAATATTAATTTTGTAAAATTTGGTGAGAAACGTAATGAGAAATTTAAACATTTATCTTGGCGCGCTTTTTTTCAATTTGAACCAAGAATAATTGGTGAAATCCATAATTTGTAGCAACCTATTTTCCTTTACCTTCTTTCACTGAGTACGAACGAAAAAAAAAAAAGGTGCATCGTTCATTCTTTCAAATAATTTTAACAAGGTGCGTAAAGCACATTTGGCGCTATTATCACTTATGACAAATATGCCAAATTTCAATACGCACCAATATATACACTCATGTACGTCTTTGGAAATTTTGAATACAAATCTCTGTTTTTTTTACATGTATTCTTATAAATACATCTACTTTTAGAAGATGGTAGAAATTTTATAGGTTATAACAGAAAATGTTTTTCGAAAAATTTAGAAAATTTACAAAAAAAAAAAAAAAAAAAAAAAAATATTAAAAAAAATTAAGAAATATTTGCTAAATTTATTTTCACTAAACCTAAATTTCGACTTGGGAGGGAAGGAATCAAGTAATTTTAATAAAAAAATGAGATACTAAGAAATATATACCGTATTCAATAAACATTCAGAAGCTAAAATTTTGAGAGTTAAGTTTTTAAAAACTAGTCTAGCCATATTTATAAAACTTTGCGTAATTTCAGTCGCAGAATCGAAATATTGGAAAAACAGGTGTGTAATTTCAGAAAATGCTCGATTTTGTATCACAATACCTATGTTAGAACAATGTTATATATAAATCTAATATATTTCCAACGTCTCGCTTTCGAAACATGAAAAGCGCAAATTAAATGTCGTCACTCGGCTAAGTAGAACAAGAGATATAGAACTGTTCCTTATTTTGTTCAAGGTGTACATAATATATAATATTACATACACTTTGAACAAAAGAAAAAAAAAACTTTCTTGTTCAAGGTGATCTTTTTGACTTTTGATGACCTTTTTTGTTCAAAGTGTATTGTATGCATGTTATGTGCTAATAATTATTAATGTAGGAAATTTTAATATAATTTCTTTTTCTGAATGGATTGATCTCTCATATACTTTTACGTTATGATTAATAAATTATTTTCCCCCCTTTTCCGGAATGTTCAAAAATTTGTTCACCTGTTTTAAGGAAAAGTGTAATAGTCTATGAATTAAAAGGTACGAATTTTCATAATGTAGTAAGAGAGAAATCCAGAATTCCGTAATGTTTTATTTCTTTCTTTTTTAGTGGCTCATCTGAATTTAGGCTTAGTGCTAGGCATTCTGGGAAGAAAAGAAGAAGCTGCAGAGGTTAGTACGTTAAGTTTTAAACCTGTTGCTTACGCAACATTGTAAAGAAAAATATTTTTTCAGTAATTCATTGTCATAATTAATATAAAATTAAGTTTATTTAATTATTTATAAAAATAATATCTGATCTGATGATACTTTATGAATCAAAAGAACAATAATTTAATTTTTTCCTCTCTTTTTCTGATTTGCCGTGAGTTAAATATTTATTTTCTTGATTATTAGGTATATCGCCATTGTGCGGAACTTGATAGTAGTGGTTTGAAGGACCCGAAAATGCATGAAACGACAAAGATCTCAGCTCTGTTTAACCTAGGCAGACTATATGCTGACGATGGATCATATAAGGTGAGGGAATTTTTTTTTTTTTTTTTAGCAAACTCTTTATAAACTTTGTTTAAACCAATCATTATTCACTGATTGAATGAAAACTTGTGAGAGTGTATCAGGATAAGCGACGGAGGACGTGGGCACTGTCCGTTTACCATAATGGTCAATCAGTACAGCACCACGTCCACCATTATCTAGAGCGGTCCAAAAGTGTAGAACATAGTACAAAGGACTTTTCGAGTTTACAGTGCAGATGACATTGTTGTACATAATGTGCCACAGGTGTCCACAGATATATATATGCACATTACAATGTGCAAATGGCTTATTTATGCCTTGTGAATATGCTGATGACATGGTTTTGCACAGTACACACTCAGCTCTTATCTTATAAACATATTAGGAATACACATACAGTACAATATACGCTATACAACAGACGTATGCCATATTTAAGCATAGTGATTATGCTGATGACCAGGGTATGCAGGATGGTTTACAGCACAGGTAACATTATAATCCCATGTTACGTGGTTTCAACTACACATACAGTTACTTTATAATTACACATACATTACAGTTACTTTGCAATTACGCATGCATTACAATGCTCTTACGTTATAAATACATTAGAATTACATATTATTTCTTTAAAAACTAGTCGTTCGCATTACCAACCGTCTAAAATAAGGATCATTAAAAAAAGATATTTAATGCTAGTCCAAATAGTGTAATTTCATAAAATATTTCTATATTTATGATTAGATATCTCATGATTTGAATGCATTTTTAATTTAAATCATTCATATTAGAAAGTAGAAAAAATGTTCTTAAGAATTATGTTTATTGATTTTAAATCACTTCGTTTGTTACTCAGTAACCTTCCAGCTTAAACGAGGAAGTGAACTATCTTACTGTGAGGTAACACGCTACGGAGTGAAAAATATAAATATGTCATTTTCGGCAGTGGCCACATATTTCTTTCAAATAGCGGAATTTGATGATTAAAATTAAAGAATAAGTATCGGACATTTTGTCTAATGGCAACATTCTTGCCCGCTAGAGATAAAAATCTTTTTATTTCGAAGAATGTTGCCAGTCCTCGCTTTCAATTGACTTTTGTAAACAAGAATTCATTTAATTTGTGCAAAATATTATGACCAATTATAAAATAAATCAAAAACAAATTCGACATTCAAAATTCGGGCTTCAAGGTGTCCATGTCTTTCTTCTACATTACGAAGAACATACATACACACATACGTACAGATTAATTATTATATTTTTTTTAATAATGCATCACGATAACATTTGGTGGCAACAGTTCGAAAGTGATTTGGCCAAAAGAAGTGCTCAAAAATGGCGTTTAAACAGATTTTGTCTTTTCAGAAAAGCCTCTGATGAGTTAAATTAAGTAAAGTTAAAATTTAAGATACTAATCTAATTTTTTTTTTTTTTTTTTGAAATTCAGAGCATTTTTATTAAAAACTGCAGCGACAAAATCCAAAATTCTCAAGGATACTGTGCAATTTCAGTTATTTATTATTTAATTTGGCTGCTTAAAATAAAATATATAGAATTTCATTCATAATATTTATTACACGAAAACCAATTACTAATCTCTTTGTTTGACATATCCGAACACGGTTCAGTTTCTAAGATAATTTATTCACCTTTAATTGCGGTAAATCAACATGAAATGTGTCGCTAGCTAGCGTAATGTATTTATCTATTATAACAATCTATACTTTGTTAGTAAGTATATTTTGTTAACATAAAAGTATACTATGGTAATAAGGTTATCGAAATTCTTTTCTTTCACTGTTTCTTTAAAAATTGTCTTGTCTCTTTTGGAGCCAAATCTTTTATTATTAATAATCTTAATTCGTGTATGGCGCCATTCACAGCGAAAGAAAATAGAAAGGAATTTTAATTTATCTTCAGATTGTGATCAAGTTCCTTCTAACTCGCAAACAAAAAGAGTTGTCTAAATTCGAAGCACGTTTTTAGATATTATGTACGAGTGAAATATTTCTCCAATGAAAAATAGTTAAAAGACCTTAATATTAATATTAGTATACTATCTTACTGTATCTTAGTATTAATATTAAACTGTTTATCTAGCGACATTAATAACAATATCCCTCGCAGTAATTCCAGTCTCATGTATAAAAGAATTACTTGTGTAGTTTTTGATTAAAAAAAACTGATGCGTCTAAGTATTTAAAATGAACGAGTTAAACCATTTGGGGTTGAAATAATTAAGAAAATTGTTTCGCATTTTTAAATTACCGGTTTCAGTGCCGTATGATTCGCTTAATTTCATTAGTAGTTAAAGTTTTAAATCCGGTGTTAATTTTTATTAAAATTTTTGGCGTATCTAAACGTTTCTTTCCTTCGGAAATGAAAATTTTAAAAGATTCAAAATTATTATTCATAATTATTATTGAAATATCGGATATACTTCAATTTTAACTGCAAAATAATGCAAAAGTTCTAGAATCATTAGGTTATTTTGAAGCAGGAGAAATGAAGAAGGAGCAATGCCCTCGCCGGTACTCGAACTTGGACCTCTCGAATACGCGCCGAGTGTGCTACCATTACACCACGAAGGCATACTGGAAGGGAGGGAGAAAATACCTTATGTACTGTGCATATATATAATATCTTATGTATTGTATATATATATAATATGATATATGTAAATTTTGTAATAAATTCGGCGATTCAAAGCATTTCGTCGAGGACTGTTGCCTGACTGGAGAAGAAAATATAAATTTGCGAAGTTTGAGAATTTATTTAGCAACTTTAAATTGTTTAGAAAATTTGCAAGAGATATTATGCAAACTGTGAATGAGAATAAGAAGAATATTGGTATCGAGATATAACAAAGCAGAAAAATCATACTGAAAACAGAAATAATTGAAGTAACTTATAAATTTAAGATAAATTTTGATAATGTAAAGAAGATTTGAATAATAATAACAAATTGAAAGTAAAACTTATAAAGATTTTAAACTTAGGAAAAAACACAGAAATAGAAACGACAAATTTATATACTGTTACGAACTTAGAGTGTTTGGAATGTATGTATCTGCTTCACGTTTTTTTTTTTTTATATATATATATGCTTTTTGGCTTGGCCTGTCCCTTCATAGCCACATGGCAGGTTTCGCCTGCTAGATAGGCTGGGGGCCTGTGCTTAAAACTGCCCCTTTTTAATCTACTGCCCTTTTTAAAGGGCGACTGGGAATTAGGGACCCAATCGATAAATCCGGGTAGTGACGAATTATCATCCGGTCATTAAAATATTTTGGAGCAAGAAAACTGAAGAATGTGCAATGCCCTCGCCGGAACTCAAACCTGGACATTCGCGCCGAGTGTGCTACCGCTACACCACGAAGGAATGCTGTAAAGGAGAGAGAAAATACTTCATAAGTTATCATATACTCTGAAGATTCTAAAATAAAAGTAGTTAAAGACAGTAATTTTTATTAATATGCGATAAATAACTGCTATCCTCATTTTGCGTTTTTTTAATTTTAGAGAATATGATTAACAGATATTCTGAAATATTAAAACAGTTTTCAATTTAACCTATTTTTATCGGAAATGTGGTTGCTATGGAAAATTTGAATTTACTTTTTTTAATTATAAAGTTAATTTTAAAACACTTATTTTGATGTTCCTGTATTTTGTTGTCTAGGAAGCCATTCAAGTTTATCAAGAAGCTGTGCAGAAAATGCCAGATCATTATCAACCGCAGTCTTTGTATAATATGATGGGTGAGTGGGATATTTCATTTCCAGATTTGTATATCTTATTTTTATGCTAATGTATGCTTGTAGTAGACACTAGAGTAATTACTTACCTATTAAATTACATTACTTGCGTAAATATAGCTGAATGAGTATCATTAAAAAAGAGAAATTTTAAACTGAAAGCTGCTTGCTTAGACCAAAACGCAATTAATGTTTTTGTGTGAATATGATTTTAAGTACACTCAAGCCTGTTTTTGTGCGGTATTTTTTTTCTTTTTTTTTTGTGCAATGTTTTATTTGTGCGATTTTTTTTTTCTGCGGCATACGAAAATTTCAATCAAATTGGAACATAATTATACGATTATATGACAGAAGATAAAATCTCTGCAGGACTCCAACTATGCCATAAATTAGAATGCCATTTTCTTGCAATCGATGCCAATTTTGAAAGAACTTCAAAATTCCAAAACGAGCTTCAATCTTGTATATCAGGCTACCAAGACATATACAAGCGTCTAGTGAACAATAGTCGTCGCAAAAACTGATCACCGACTACACGGTAACTGAAGAATGTCAACTCTTCAGTTAGAGAGTGCGAGGTAGTATCTTCGAGTGCGAGTAGTATCTTCAAGTGGAGGAAAGCGATTTTGAAGAAGTTGAGTACAAGAAAGTTCGAGTATTGTCAGAAACTACGAAGAATAATGGTTATACATTTTGAAAAGTTTTGTATGTGTAAAATAAATACATATGTAAATAAAATATTTAAAAATGTTCGTTAATGTTAAAAATGTATTTTGTAAATCAGATTCTAAAAGGTTCCAAGTACAGTAGAACTCCAATTATCCGAATCAGTTGTGACCGGACCCTATTCGGATAATCAAAAATTCGGATAATTGATTTTTTCCGAAGAAAGAATCTATGTACACTTTAATTAATTACTGGTCATACTGTTTATTGAAAATAGGAGAAAAAACTATTTAAAAAGAAAAAGGGGTATTAATTAAAATGAAAAGGCGACACTTTTACGTACATGTTATACAGCTTAGTACTTACAAGTGCTTGAAAGTCATTGCTTGCTGAACACCTCGGTCAAAGTAAGCTGTTTGACGGGCACCGTGTCCGCATTTAAAATTTCTTAGCCAGCCGTTACATGCTTTAAAGGATGCACAACCAAGCTTCTGAGCTAAGATCTTAGCTTTTTCACAAAGAATTGTACTCGATATTGGGTTTCCCATAGAACGTTGCTGCAAAAACCAATTGAAAACTACATCTTCTAAATTTTTGTGTGTTGTGGCCTTCAGTGACTTTTTCGAAGAACTTCCATCTTCGTTTTCAAGCAGTGACACGAAGTTTAAAAGTGTAGGTTTGCTCCTTTTAATATCTGAAATCATTGATTGTCCAACACTGAGGTTCCGTTAAAATTTTTTTCTTAAATTCTGAAAGCGATTCGGATAATCAGCGATTCGGATAGTCGGAGTTCGGATAACTGGAGTTTCACTGCAGCTGCCGAGCCTCGTGTCTCGATTTCGTTTAAAAAAGCAGTCCTAGTTATTTTTACGTGAAACATTTTTTATGCGGTCCCTATTCACTGCACAAAAAAATAATTTTTAATTGTGTTGCGAAAACTATATTTTATAGCTACTCGTGAAGTTTTGTGCGATTTTTTTATGCGTTTTCTTATGCGATCCCTATCCATAGCACAAAAACAGTTTGAGTGTACAATATTGAAACTAATTACGTATATGTGATGACTAATTTAAAAGTTTAAATTTTTTATGCCGTGTTAAAAACTTGCTGTAGTCTACACAGTTTCTTATACGAGAAATCAACGTGAAAATATTCTGAAACTGTTGCACGTTGATAATTCATTCCAGGAGAGGCATTTTTTAAGTTGAATAAATTTGAAGATGCCGAGAGGTGGTATCAGCAGGCCTTACGCGCTAAAGCAGATCACATACCAGCGCATCTTACGTATGCCAAGCTTCTGTCAAAATGGGTGAGTATGCCTTTTGTTAATGGTCTCCAACTGCTTTTTCTTTCCGATATACTGCCACTTACAACAACCAAGAGTTTATTTTTTACAAACATACCCAAGGATAAACTACCACTATTTATAATATATTTACTTTTCTTTTGATCAAAAATATTATTACGAATTTTGTATTTAGATAGGTAATTTTAGTAGAATTGTAATTTAAATTGTTGTATTTCCTCGTGCAATACAGCGCTAGGCGAAGTTTAACTGAAAGCTATGCCGGAAAAGTAAGAATACAGGAGCACGTGCATTTAACTTTGAGTAAATAAATGGTTGTCTCGGTAATTTGTACTGAAACTGAATACATGCAATTGACCACTATGTTAGCTGTAACCGTAATTCCATCCTCTTATTGCTTTTCAGAAATCTCTAGAAGCAGAAAGTGCTAGAAATTTCTCGCGACCGGTTGAAAATTATAAAAGGACTGCTATTTATAATATACTTACTTTTCTCTTGATCATAAATTTTTTATTCTGCTGATCAAGATAGCATTCCATTTAAGAGTAATTTTAATTAGAAATGAGCGATCGGCAGAAATATGTAATTATATTGCAATTAATTATAATGATGCCTACTTATATATAAGAGCGATACTAGTGAAAATGAAAATTATTTACTAGAATTATATTCATAGAGTACAGTATTTCCGTTCATTTGTAAGTTACATAAGTATATTCACAATTTGTGTATAACTGTGAGCGAAATTATAATTAATTTAGCTTTGATTCATTAATCAATATATTGAAATCGAATCCTAATTCTTTTTTTTTTTTTTTTTTTTTTTCTTTCTTTTTTTTTTAGGGACGTACGAGTGAGGCTGAGAAATGGTTCTTAAAGGCGAAAGAAATTGCACCGAATGATTCCAGTGTTTATCAGCACTATGGTGAGTTTGTCATTCAAATTACTTTCTATAAATGTTTTATAGTTCTCCCCTCTTCTAGTGATAAAAATTCTAAGTCATATTAGGTTGCTGAAGAAGTTCTGTCGGTTTAAGGAGCATACCTTAGGCTGTTCTTATGCACCAAAACCAAAAGCCGATGATTGCGAAAATTAAACATATTGGTATCCAGGACGTATAATTTTCATTATTGATCCGGTATGAGAAAGCTGGTAATTCCACTGGAGACGTAACTCAGGTCTTTTAGAGCAAGCTGTGGGCTATGCACAGGATAAGGTAAAACATTTTTCTTCCCAACTTAGCTCCAATAACTTCTGATGTATGTTGAAATTACATGCGATTTGGCGCAGTCTTCTAGTAATCAAACAATATGGTACTGTGAGTCTATCAGATATTCGAAAAAAAAAATAATGAGAGGCACGACATAAACCAAAAAATTAAACTGCTGGGTGGATACTGGCTGATTTTTCATTACATATTTTGACCGGAAGTTTTCTGAAAAATATAATGGTGATTGGGTTATTCTATAAGAATAATATAAAGGTCTAATCCCTGTACCTTATTCAAAAAAATCTATCGATAATAATCCATGTTAATTAATAAGTGCTTTGCTAATTTTGATTTGAGTGAAAGCGATGGAAGGTTGCATGAAGGTTATGAAATCTTCATATGAAAGTGTAGCCAGAATCGCTATTTAAACTGAACCTGGATTCATCTAAAAATTCTACACCGGCTGAATCATCTTAGTATATAGGATCTAACTCTCTTTGCCACATAAACTAATCTAGATCCTACTAATGAACCTGACGACGTCTCTCACAGGCGTGAAATAATAACAGAAGAAGGTGAAAATAACCCTTTATTATTTTCAACTATGAACAGGACGGGAATGTACTTCGCGCTTTACAATAACACGTACAACTTGCGGTGGACTTAAGGGGGATTACACAAATCAAGTCAAGTCTAAAAAAGAGTAGTGCTGGACTAGCACTTTTAAGTTACGGCTAACTAGGTTGACTCCACAGCCTAACAGGGGTGATAATTATTCAAATAGCCAAAAGGCATGTCAGCAACTCCGCGTAACACCAAGATCAGAAACAAAATGTACGCCGGCTAACGAAAACACGCTCTGAATAAACTCTAAGATTCATCCATTTAAATGCTCACTTAACTTTAAATTATCATCCTGCCGAGGGGAAGTTGAGGAGTTCAGGAAAGATAACAAAACTTCAGGAAAGAATAATTGGGTATTTGAACTTAGCGAAACCCCGACAAGTATATTCAGTGACAGAGGAGATGATACCATCTTAAATGTTCTCTTCTGAAAGACTCAGAAAACAGTAATCATCTTGTACAAACAGCGTGGTTATGAAAGCGTTCAGTAAGCAGTAGGTCTTTTTTATTGGGAATACTGGCTGCGGAGAGTTCCCAAGCCACCCGGCTTGCAGTTTTTGTTGTCTTGTAGTTATTAGTGTTAGCAATGCCGAGTAGTTGTCTTCAGATGCCGAGTAGTTGTCCCTTGCCCTTGGACAACTTTTAACAAGAAATACACTAACTGTTCCTATGCTTAAAAAGCGATTACATACTGTTTTTGAAATCATGCTTTGGAGAATATTTAGTTCTCTAGAAATATACAACAGTGTTTCATTAGCACCGAATCTTCGAGTCATTCGTCACTCATAATCTTCATCCAAACGAAGTTGTTCAAACATAGTCAACATCTGACCAGTTTTCAAACTTACTACTTTACATATATCTTAAACATGTTTTCTCTTTTTTTTTTTTTGATTTCCTTATTTGCACGTTCTATGCTCAAATACATGTGCAGCAGTAATTATTTTTGTTCAGAAGTATGTAATTAGCATAAATAATTACACTTAGCGTTATTATTAGTGATAATTATAACCACTAATCAGACTTTGGACAGTTATACTAATTATAACCACTTGACCAATCTGTACAGCAGGCATAATTTTTATAGCTGTCTTTTAAATCCAATGTATTTTGCTCAAATATATTTTGAATTTCACTATATTAAAGCCCACAGACACCCAAGAGGATAAGACCTCTGACCACTGATAATTCCATTCAATCTCAAATCATTAATAATTCGATCCAAGCTCAAAACCTCATGAACGACTGACTGCATGGTATTTTTGTCTTCCTTACATGTAAACGTAAATGTGAGCTAGTTTTCGAATTTCCTCCATGAAATTATTCTTCCCCTTTTGCGGATAGTCTTAATGCGTTTTGATATTATCTAATAAATCAATATAAAATACCTGATATATTAGCAGTTTTCAAGTAGCAAAGGGTTTGAGGTCTAATTTATCATGCGTTTCCTACTGTATAAGGCGCCACATATGATTCAGTGGCAAAGTATTGGTTTCCTCTTGGATATCAGGTGTGCAGTACTCATCTGGGATCTGGCATTTTGGTTGTTCTGTCAGCCTTTCCATCGGTGGTAACTCTATAGATGAAGTGAATCTATAGATGTGCTAACCCCTCTGTACCATTTATGCATTGATTTTAAAATTATACGTCCTTATTCCCACAAGCCCCTTAGCTTTTTCTGGTTTCAGCAGAATAACTTAACCTTAAAAAATTCAGTAAACTGCATTTTAGTTTCCTTCAAAATTATATTTTTCAAAGGTTATCCAAATGATATACTGGTTAGGGGAGCCTGACTGCGATGCCAAAGGCCCCGGGTTCAAATCCCGGAGAAGGCATGAATGTAAAATTGTCTTCCACTTCATATGAGCTAATGGTGGCCGCCTATGAAGTGCCTCCGTAATAAAATGCCCATCACTTCTGGCCTTAATAGTGGCCAATGCCGTTATAGACAAGTGCGCGCCACTGGGAAAAATATTTTTGTAAGTGCTACGAGACGATGTAATAATTAGGGGAGCCTACTGAGATGCCAGAGGGCCCGGGTTTGAGTCCCGGAGGCGGCATGGCGTAATTGTTCGTCCCTACATTGGAAGTAACGGAGGCCCAACTGTTAGTTTGCTTCAACAATAAAGGGGCCAGCAGTTTCTGCTTTAGTAGCGGCCAAGCCTAAGTCGGCTAAGTGCCCGCCAATGAAAAAGAAGGTTTCTGAAAGTTTAATTATTTGCAGTCTCATATAATTTGCGTTAATATGTTGAATTTCAAACTAAAAGAAAGAAGTCCATAATACCAAAAAATTGTTTGTCGAGAAAGGAAAGTTATAAAGCATCTTTTGAACTTAAGATAAAATGACGCGCCGAACAATTATTAATTTAGAAGTCAAACAAAAACCAGCATTTTATTGCGAATATATTAATGCATTTTATTGCAAATATATTAATGCATTTTATTGCAATTGAAAATATTTGCAAATTTGCAAATTTGCAAATATAACACTGAGTTTTGTTGTTTGACTTTTAAATTAATTACATCTCTTGCTAACAACGTTAAGAGTTATGAAAAGTTTGAAATTTAAGAATTAGGAAGCATATCTTATATCAAAACTTTTATTTTCAAAAATCATTGGTAATCTATTATTTAGCATTCCAGTTTGCGAGAAACTTTTCATTCACTAATCTAGTAAAACTAGCGGTACTGTTCTGTTGTCAGGACCGGGTTCAGAAATGTACGTATATATGCATGTATAAATATAAGTACGAATGTATGTGTTCGTATACATATGCACAAATATGCACATGTCATACATATGTCATACGTTCATACATTTCTGAATCCAGTCCCGATAATATAACGTACCAAAATAGCAACTGATTGGATACATTACCGTTAATTACAACTCTTTTTTTTCATTTATCTATAAAGTGCTAGGAATTTAAAAATTCTCTACAACATTCTTTAAGGATCGGATATTTCATTACTTTACCCTGCATAATATAGTAATAGAACTTCGAATTATTTGCATTATATGAAATTACTTCCAGCAAAACTTCTTATTACATACTTATATTGAAAGAAATTTTCGTTATTTCAGTATTACATCAAACAGGTTTTGTATGTCTACATCCATGTAATAAATGTAAATGAAAGTAGAATTGTGTAAATCAGCAATGCATAGTTTCCATTTGCGATAAATTCCACGAAATTTCAATAAATCGCGTTTGTTCTCCGCATGATTAAATAGTGTGATTCAATATTTGATCCCAATTCATTCTTAATACAAGAAACAAGAACTACAAAACTAGCTTGCGAAAGTAAACTCTGTCTCGTTTCTGTCTAGACGGATGAAGACTTCAAAAAGTAAATTAATTTCAGGAGTTTAGATTTCTGCATACGAATTATTTCTTAATTAAATGAGAGAAAATCGCTCATGAAATTTCTATGTTTTAATCAAATCAAAACAGTTACTGGTAACTATTTTAAGTGCAGTATGTTAATAATAGCTGTTTAATACATGCAAAATTTTAAAAAAATTGTCACTATGAAAAGGTAAAGAATTCTCTAGTTTGGTAGAAAATATTCTGCCATTAGAAACACTGGTTAAAGACTGAGGAAGACAAGAATTTCGTTTCCAAATCCTCTTTCATCCTTAGAAGGAAAGGAAATACTTTACTTGATAAAGAGAGCAATTAAGTCTGTCACTAAGGATAAATGTGCTGTTTCTTTTGTTTATCTTCTCCCGTAAAAGCCCACTAATGTCTGGTTTTCTTACAGGTCAGTTTCTCACGGAGAACGAACGCCATCTGGAAGCTGCGCAAATATACTTGAGGGCCGCTGAACTTGCTCCAGATGAATACGAAATTATATTCAATGCTGCTAATACACTCAGGTAAACTAAAATTACCCGTATGCTAAATTTACATAAACTCGCGTATTAATATATACTAGCGGGCTGCGGCCAAAGCAAAACTTTTATGTTCTATCTACATCTGAAAAGAAACTGTATAAAAATATTTCAGTATAAATACAATTCATTCTTTCCAGGCAACATCCAATTTGTAAATAACTTTTTTGTTGCCAAACCAGGAAACAAAAACTTTTGACACTTCGGCTTATTACGTATGACGTCATGATTTAAATTTTATGTAATATAACTGCTTTAAATTTTGCAAATGTTCATTATTCTTTTGACAAGACTGATATCAGTCTTAGTGATGGAGCAACTGTGAACAGTTGTTTCAGTGGTATCATAGTTCCATACTTTTGCAGGTTCAGATACACAGTAAAGTAAACTTATTATACCATAAAGGCTAAAATTACTTGTAGTTCCCTCTACGGCCTTCTCTAAAATGCTTTTCTAATAATGCTTTTAAACACCTTTTATCACTCCTTGATCCATAAATTGCAGTTTCCCAGTGGTGTTTGAAGTTTTTTTATTGTCTTTAATATTTTGAGGGTGAGCACTGCAATTGTCTATTACCAGAGCAATTATTCGCCTCCGTACAGACATGTATTTAATAGCCTCTTTTAAAAAATGTCTGAGGTCATTTACGATTTCTTAATTAAATCGTAATCTACTTACAGTAATTTAATATTCCTAAAACACTCTTAATTTTTACTCTTTTCTGTAAGCGTAATTGCGTTGATCCATTATTTGGAATAGAAATGTTCTATTAGTCGAAATAGAAATGCCAATAATGCATTTTAGTAGCAAAAAACAGTAATTTATTTTAATGAATACATAACCGTTAAATACCTTTTCCAAAAATTTTATTTTAAGTCTTGTATACTGTCTGAAGAAAATTCAGTTTAAAACACAGTCAAACATTTATTTATTTAACGAATTTTTTATTTTATAAATTCCTCTATTTAGCAATTTTTGTTGCAATTTAGAGACATTAGGAATTTTTGGAAGCAGGAGACTTGAAAAATGAGCAATACCCTCGCCGGGAATCGAACCACGGACCTCTCGAATACACAACGAGCGTGCAGGCCACTACAACACGAAGGCACGCTAAGAAGACGGGAGAAATACCTTATATACTTTCCCTTTTGAAGGCCGACTGGGGATTAGAGGACCCAATCGCTAAATCCTGGTGATGGAGAATCGTCATCCATCACCCGTTTTAGTTCGGGAGCCACTGCAGAGACATTAGGATATTTTAGAAGCAGAAGACTTTAAAAATGAACAACGCTCTCACCGGGTATTGAACCACGGACCTCTTGAATAGACGCCGAGCGTGCAGATCACTACACCACAAAGGCACGCTAAGAAGGCGGGAGAAATATCTTATAGGTGTAATGTTTTCATTTTGTTCCATTTTGACACGTAGCAGTACAGTAACTTTAAATTTGTTGCGCTTGCCTCCGAAACATTTATCGCAATCAACTTAATATTTTTGCAGCTACTTCATGCATTTGTTTTTGATTGCTTCAGTCACCCACTGCTTGCATGAAATTCAATTTGGCCTAAGGTTTTGGCAAATTCCGTAGCTTTTACTTATATCAATAGCGATGAGACGGTACGTATTTTTCTCTCATTGTGCGCAGTCATTTTAACGTTGCTTCATCAATGTCTTCAAAAACTCACGTTTTCTTATAGCTTACATTTGGGGATCGGTGGAATCAAAGCTTGTTGAAACTTTGTCCCGATTTTTCAGGCATGTCGATAAACTATTTTGCAAAATGCCGAAATTTATCGCAATATCTTTCTCCTTTACACATTTGTCCACTTTGTCGATGATCAGCATTCTTTCTTTAATTGTTAGACACTTCCGTTTCGACATTTTTATCGTTCAAAACACAGGTAATTTTAAAAAGAATTTACAGTATAAACCACGAAAATCAGAAATAAAAATAATATGCTGCTGTTGCTAACTGGATTGGTTGGGTAATTTTAAACGATAGTATAGTTAATTGCTTTCTCATTCGAAAAATCTTCCTCTCCCCTCTTCATCCCTCACTGTAGAGTGGAATGTCACAACATATTACAAACCACCTGCTTTGCTAGGACCACAGCTGCCCTGTCACAGCAAATTATAACTAATTTTAATATAGAGAGAAAATCTCTAAAAATCACCCATTCAAAAACTTTTAAATGAAGAGTGGCCTTATATTTAACGCAGTACACTCTGTAGAGACATTAATTATATTTAACGTAGTACACTCTGTAGAGACATTAATTATATTTAACGCAGTACACTCTGTAGAGATATTAGGTTATTTCAAAGAAGGAGACTCGAAAACTGAGCAATGCCCTTGCCGGGGATCGAACCACGGACCTCTCGAATACGCAACGAGCGTGCTGCCCACTATACCTGGAAGGCATGCTAAGAAGACTGAAGAAATACCTTATGTACGTCCCCTTTTAAAGGGCGACTGAGGATTAGGGGACCCAATTGCCAAATCTTGGTGGTGGAGAATTTCGGGCGCCACTGTGGAGACATTAGGATATTTTGAAGCAGGAGAGATGAAAAATGAGCAACGCCTTCGCCGGGACTCGAACCATGGACCTCTCGAATACACCGAGCGTGCTGACCACTACACCACGAAGGCCTGCTAAGAAAGCGGAAGAAATGCCTTATACTCATTTTTGGATTATCTACACACTATATAAGTACTATTTAGACTTTTTTATGCAAGGTAATTCAAACCTCAGGCAGAATCTCGCGAAAAACATTGCTAAATAGAGGAATTTATAAAATAAAAAATTCGTTAAATAAATAAATGTTTGACTGTATTTTAAACTGAATTTTCTTCAGACAGTATACAAGACTTAAAATAAAATTTTTGGAAAAGGTATTTAACGGTTATGTATTCATTAAAATAAATTACTGTTTTTTGATACTAAAATGCATTATTGGCATTTCTATTTCGACTAATAGAACATTTCTATTCCAAATAATGGATCAACGCAATTTTTTATATTTAATTTATAATGCATAATATCAAAATAATCATCTAGCGTTTAAAGTTTCAACATGTGATTTATTAAAATAAAAGTATTTCTATAAAATAATGATTTCTTAATTTACTAAAGGTAAGTAAGTTTAGCTTGGCATTTTTCTTTAGCTGAATTAGTTGAAATACGTATGGCTATTTATAAATTTTCAATAAAATATATTTTTATTAAGTCGATAACAAAATGCTGTCAGCGCAAACTTCATTCAAATATTTATTCATAATATCTGTTGATATTAGAAATTTTTAAAAATGCATACACTCTGAAGGAATGTAAAATTCATCAGACAATATTAACTTCTGAATAATGAAATAAAAACAAAGCTACATAATTTAAGCTTGTAAGAGATGCTATAAAGGAAACGCGTTATATCTGCTTTTACTACAAAACAATTCATTTCTTAATTAACTAATTTTAATAAACTTATTTATTAATTATCAAACTAATAAACTAAATAAATAATTCATAATTTTTAGAAATATTTTTGGAATCAGTTGGCACAATTGTTTTCTTGTCTAGCATAAATAATTTTTAAAAACTCCTCCTTCGATTTAGAATTTAATGGAAGAAATATTTTCTAGAAATATGTTCGTCAAGCATTACAGTATCGTTTACTAATTGAGTTATAATAAGTGATAAATAAATTAAAATAGATACTTTTACTGCAAGTAGAAAATTTGTAGTTACTTGTTATTGAATTGTGATGTATAATTTTGTTACTTAGGCAAGCAGGGAAAAACGCAGATGCTGAACACTTTTATCAAATTGCTGTGAAGCTGAGACCGAATGTAAGTTGCTTTAACTTTCATTCACTAGTTTTGAAAATCAGAAAAATTTAATATTTATCTTTGTTTTTTTATGAAACTCTTGATGTGATATTTTGATCTTTACCGCTTATTGCATATTGCTTTATGCATTACCAAATATTTAATTTCTATTCAGCATATTATAACCCAGATAAATTTATTCCCCTGCTTTAAAATATTTGATGACAATGTATGTTAAAAAAATAGTGTGCCAGTCTGTTGGTGGACAGATTGATAAATTATTTAGCTTGGATGATTTCACCGCTGCTTTGAATAATAATGGTTGATTTATATATTATTTAAAGCAAATATAAGTCACTCTTTGGGAAGCTCTACTGGACTGTGTACCTTCTACTACCAGGTATTATTGATGTAGTTTTTCAGAAAAATCGATAACTGCAGGTTAAGGGCTGAGGATAGGCAGATATAAAGATCAGCGCACCATATGTTATTGGCTGAACCCGTTTTCTAAGGAAACTTAGATTCGCCAAAATTGTTCCTACATTATCACACCAATCAGAATTGGTATAAAAGTCGGAAATACATAATTACTTGTAATTAATAGTTTTGTGAAGTGTTTGAAAAATATACTGATCATAAACGATAACTTAAATTAATTTATTTGTAAGGAATGCGTTAAAAGTATTAAAGCTTCTGAAATTATTCATTTGGTAGTTATAAATGTTGCATATGTAACATTCATTATTACTAAATATTACACTACTAGCGGAAGTACCTGATGCCAGTTAAACTAGATTGAGAGTAATGTATCTAACAACAGAGAGAACGAAACCGCTGTATTCTGTCTCTAATAACGATGCAAGAAATACGATTCATAATGATACATATTTCAGTCTGAGGCGATATGGAACCCACATAAAATTTTTTTTAGAAAAATAAACTAATTCTTTCTCATTATATCAGCAACAATGGCACGCAGTTTTTAATGATTTTCGTCTTTCTAATCAAATGGTCGTGAAAAATCGACTTCCATCCATTATTTCACTTATTAGTCCAAAGGGATTTGAATCCCGAAGGACTATTAGTTTCGTTTTGGCATTTTGCGTCGGACTCATAAATGTCGGTTCACTTTTCAAACTGTTGCCACAAAATGTTAGAGTCCTGCATTATATTTGAAGAAATTAAATAATGAAAAATCTGCATAAATGTATGTATATTTCTCACATTATCATAAAATAACGGTACATAGAGTCATCGAATTTTGAATAACGTAATCCTCCAACGAATATGAGCATGTGGAAGACCAAATTTGAAATTTGAAGTTTGTTTTATAATCGATTTCCTATTTTTTAAAACTTTGACGAATTTTTGATTAACAAACTCAAGGATTTCAAAGCGAGCAATGGCAACGTTGTGCAGAAAAAACATTTTTATCTCCAGCGCGTGAATCTCTGTATCGGAAATTCTAAAGATATGCTCGTTTTAAAACTATTTTGCGATATTGCTGTTGCACTGGATCGTATGGTTTAAGTGCGAGGAACATGATATTTAATAAAGAAAGGTAACACACAAAATGTTAAAAAACGCTCCTTTGGACGTAATTTAAAATCTGAAACATTTCAGATTTTTTTTTATTCAATTTTAGTCGATTAAAATTGGCCAAAAAATTGATCATAATTAACCAAAAATCAATAAAGCAACACACAAACAGGAATTCTTCCTTATATATAAAGATTTTGTAAAACTTACAAATCTTTAATTAACAAACTCTACGAGAAGTGGCAACATTTTCTGAAATAAAGCATTTTTATCTCCAACGAGCCAGACTGTTGCCACTCGAGAAAATGACTGCGAAAACTAGTGTTTTCAGAGTTTTTAGTTGATATCTTGGCTGATTAAAGTCGTACGAAGATGGGAACAATCGAAATGGGTTCCCACTAATTTTATAATAATGTATTTAATGTTTGGCAATGCTATTTTTATTTCATTGTAAAACTTAGAATTTTTTTATTATTCACGTGCTTTCTTCAATGTCAGAATATGACCTTATATAATAATAATATGTTTAATGTTTGGCAATGTTACTTTTATTTCATATTTTGTAAAACATACAAATGTTTGATTAACAAACTCTACGATTTGAAAGCGAGCAGTGGCAACACTTCTGGAAATTTCGAAGCAGATTTTTATCTCCAGCGTGCGAGACTGTTGCTACTCGGAAAAATGAGGGTGAAAAAAAAGTGAATGTCGATCTTGTAGAGAGTTTGGTGACGATATCTATAATAGTGACTGAGTTAGTTGCGAACAAACAAACACGCAGACGTTCTTCTTTATATATATATAGATTGGTAAAATCATTTAAGGTGATTAACATGTTATTATTGTTAGGTAATTTATAATAATAATTAAATACATATTAATTATTTCGAAAATATATTACAAATCTGAAAGTAATAGCGTGCAATTTGTCCTTTTTTAACATCTATCTTTCTGATTGGGCAATATAAAAAGGTTTAAAAAATTGGCAATATGGATGATTAATAATGAAACATTAATTAATTTTACAAACTATTCAAAACTGTTTATAGTCAGCTTAGTTTAACTATTAATTCTCAAAGTGTGTTACAAGCAGTTATAGTAGTTGGTATCAGAGGAGATATCCATTGGGAGATATCCATCAAGCATTCGTACAATTGTGTTAACGTGACATTTACGCACCTACAAATGGCATAATGGGCTATAAAACTTTCAGGCCCGTATGCTGAAATTTTGTTGATAATTATTTAATAAAAGCGTTGAAATGATTTTTTCAAAAATCATTCGAATACGTTAATATCATTTGTGTGTCAATCAGGGTTAAAAGTAATTAAGAATTATGATTTTATACCAAGTTCAGTCTAAAAGCTCAATAGTTATCTGCTTGGTGCGTTCACAATTTCTTCATCAAACGCGCATTACATTTCTTAAACCCGGTAAAACCCATCTAATGAAAACACCTGTTTGCATAGTTATGGGAAATATACGTAATTTATAAAAATAAATAAAGTATTACACGACATCAGTATTAACTTGAAAAACAGCTATAACTTCCCCTTTGCGCTGGCTTAGTGTTTTCTAAAGTGAGCAGATCCAAAGTAGTTAATTACTAGTAATAAAATTCATTTATTAACCAAATATCCTTTTAAAAATAGTTTTTTCTATAAATTAAATCCTGATATGGATAAGAGATGGAGGATTCTGGGGGGAATAGAAAACTTTCACTCCCAATTTTCCAAGAAAGACAGCAGCAGCTCTATTTAGACGTCTGATCGGACATGACATCTTGCTAGACCACCTCTACAGAATTGGAGCGGTGGATTCCCCAGAGTGGTATTTTGTGTGACTAAAATCAGCCTGTGATTTTTGAGCATTTAAATAATTCTATTGCACTTTATCAGTATGAGGACATTGTTAAAAGGTACTGGAGAGCTCGTGAACTAATAACTTAAACGCTAATATTTGTCATTTGTAGAATAAAAATCTGATGTGTACACCACATGACTTCCTTGCACGGAATATTAAATTACACGCAATTTTTTTTTTCCATTTCATTTAAACGTATTGGATTGAATTAAATCTACTTCGTCGATAGCGCATAAACCACAGTAGAATAAATGCATTCTTTTTTAAAATTCACTATATTTGTTTACCACAGCGACACTCTGGCGCTAGCTTCACTTAATAGCGTTACATTTCGTTCATATTATAAATCAGAATGCATATAAATTTATATCATTTGAAGAGTTATCTAATCGTTGCCACATGTTCTATTCAAATACTATAATAAATCTGAAACGACATATCAAAGAAATTAAGCAAACAAAACAAAAAAGAAACAGCTTTTTACACACGATTGAGTATTTCTCATTCAATTAATGCAGTTCTCACTTCCCGACAAGGCAAAAATACATAAAAACTCAAAATATCTATATTAAAAATTACGAAGTAAACCTTAAACGTTTATTTCCTCGTATAAATTCCAGAATGGATAAAACATGATTTAATTCGCAATAATAAATCAAGGCTTTATGTTTGTTGTTGCGAAGCTTAGTTTCTCTAGATTGGCAACAGATCCGCTATTTTGCCAAGTTTGAAACGTAAGCAAACATGTCCGCCATCGCAAAATTCGTTAGGCTTAGCTGCACTTAAACAACTTTTAAATAATAACTCAACAAATACTGCATACAGATTTACTAAAGGCATAAAAAAACCTTAACCGGAAGATAAGAACAACATAATTCAATCACATTTAAAGAAAAAAAACGCACAATTCCTATATATAAAATTTCAACGTTGTGAGGCTAATCGTTTTTGAGTTATGCGAGATACGTACGTACGTACAGATGCCAAGAAAAGTCCTCTTCAGAATTCTTTTTAAATCAGTTTATAACTTTTTGGGTAGTATTTTTATTCAGTTCTTACGTACAGGTGTCACGCAAAATCATCGTTAAATTGCATTTGATAGCGGTCAAAATGGATATTTTCGTTAAAATATGATGCCTGAAAATTTTCGCGATTACAATACTTCCTTTGTACTTTGTACAAGGAAGTAAAAATAAAATTGAATCGTGCATAATTTGTAATGTTAATTGTCTCAAGATAACAGCAAAATCGATTTAAAGTATTTGTAGATATTTCAGATAAATCATTACCTACAATTTAAATATGTTTTGCAATGTCCATTCTAGTTGTAAAACCACTCGATAGTTGTAAATGCAATAACCCTTCTTTTTATTACCCTTTAGGAAGTGACAAGCCATATGAACTTGGGAGCCATGCTGCACGTAAATGGAAAACTTCTGGAGGCGGAAAGTTCATACTTAGAAGCTCTGAGACTGAAACCCGACGACGCAATCACCCAAAACAACCTACAAAAACTTCGTAATTTATTAGCACAGAAACGAATGCATAGTAGAAGGTAGCAGCCTTTCGTTTCGATAAAGCTGTAATGGACTTTGATCATTATATGAAAAATGTTTGGAAGAAGGAAGGATCTTCAGCACACATCTGGTACTACTATTTCGGCAAGTACCGTGGGACGAATTATCTTGCACTTGATCTTCAAAGTCAGCTTTGGTCTTTGTCATCTAAATGTTGCTGCAGTGTCAAATAAAGTACTAGCAGCTGTTTTCTAGGCCCATAAATTGGCGCCAAAATGTTACAAGGCTGTGTATTCCCCAATTTTGGAAGACAACCACGTTTCTTATTTTCCACCCCCTTCCTCGTTGTCTCTAGCAGTAAAACTGTGCACTTACTTAACCGATACCATATTGAAATCTGTTTAAAAAGTGCACTATTCTTGTGATTTTGTAAGCACTATTACCTTTTCGTGTAAATTGTGGATATTATGAAATTAGTTTAAAAATTTTCAGCGTTCTCGTTGGAGCTTTAACACTAAAGATTGTGGAAATAAGTGTTTGTAACAAAGCTCAAAAGCAGAAAAACTCAGTTGTTATTTATAATCTTTGTATATATAACTGTTTCTGTGAAGGAAATTACCTAAATTAGTGAGAACTTACGAATTCGTTTCAGGCCTGTTTGCTTTTATTCTTTAGGTTATTGTGAATAATTTAAAATTTTAATGCATATGATATTATTTTTTAATTGATACGTTTCTCATGCGTGATATTAAGTATTTATACGTAAATATTTGGTTTTTGTTTGTTTTTGATTCTTTATGAAATCTGAGGACCAAACATAGGAAATTGTAATGAGTGTAGGTAGAATTTCCGCAAATATTTAACACCACTCTTGATGCTTATTTTGTATATATTCCACTTACTGCTGTAGCCGTAATAATTTATAGAGATTATCCAATTAAATGATAACGGTCTTGCTGCCTTAAAAATGCTTCGGATGTATTATTTTTTAGGTAGCATTGTAAGGCAAAAGGAATTTCTAAAATTTTCAATGAAAATTTGATGTGCTTAGTACAGAATTTCATTGATACTGAAATCACCCTGGTGCAAAAAGTTAATGGTATCGCAGTGTTTAGTTGTTAAATTAAAGCTAACTTTTAATTACATCATATTATTGTACAAAGTAAGAAATTATATGTTATATAAGATATTTTAATTAATATTATGCAGTCTGAAGGAAAGTGTATGAGTTAAATCTTAATTTGGAATATAAGTTTAAATGCAAGAATTATTTCAATTTGTACGAATAGCTTACTCAGAAATTAAGTAAAACCGCAGTGCTTTACTTCGCTAGTGAATTCTCATTGGAATCGATGATTTAACTTTTGACTTTGCCTTTTCTATATTTTCGCCTTCGGGTGAGCGGTGTGATTGCATTCTAATTGACTTAATTACCGCGAATGAACTTAGAGCATAAAATTGTACTATCTGGTAAAAATTCTATGTAATTGTATGCCAGTATTGAAAGAACCAATCAGTCTGATAAGAAATGGCCGTGACTTGTTTTGAAAGGAAGGCGTAAAAGGTTACCAGCGAGGATATTCCGTTTGACATCAGTTGTACCAATATTGGCGACTTTATCGCCTGCGTCGGCAAAACGGAAAAGTACCCATATTTTCAAGTAAATTTTCCGTTCTATCAGTACTATTTTACAATACCTGGTCGAAAAGGAAAATTTTACAATACCTACTACTAATTTTTGTTCCTAAATATCGCTGCGATAACTGATGTTTAACTTCTACTTCTGAGTGATATTTCATTTATTTAGAGGTGATTGGCTTCTTTTACTGTGGGTAATGAATGGGTGATTTCAGTATCAGTATATATAAAAAAAATCATCATTCGTTCATTCTAGTCAGAGGGTTTTTAGTGTAACTCCTGGTGATTTATAGTGTAATTTAGTGATTGCTTAAAGGTGAAATAGCAGGCACCCCATTAAATTAAATGCGCTTCCGACAAGAACGAGAATTACGCCTATATGTTGAACTGTGATGTAATATAAGAATGGCATGAGAATTGCATGTATTTGATAAACCAATGGGCACATTATATTAATTTATGGGTTTCAAGGCCCTTAAATTAAAATACTCATGACAATCGTAGAGTATTCTGTCAATATATTGCACTAAAAGTTTTAATATGTTCCGTGTATGAAGCATCCTATTTCAATGTTTTTCCGTCATGTGAAAGTTAATTGACTTAATAATAAAATGAATAAAAATGTATAATATGCTTGTTTCATCACATATGCTTCACATTCCTATATTTTAAAATTTCAGACTTCAGTTTAATTATAATTGTTGCATTGCCTAGAAAGCAGTATTTATTTTTCAAATACGGAGCAACTAGTTTTAACCCCTCCCCTACTGTTGTAGAATATAGATCTAAATCTGTTAATATATGATAGTGAAAATAATTATTCTGTGTCCACAGAAATTTGAGACATTAGGTCTTAATTTCTCAATTGTTTCATTGTTTTCTTTCTATTTGAACCAAATGCATGTAAATCTTAAAAATATATAAATAAACAAATTAAATTAAAAAACGTTCTTATAAGCCTTTTTATTCTAATGTTATTTAAGTGTTTTCATGGTTTCTCGAGACAAGTTTTGTATTTGCTAATATCCTAGAGCGCAGTATACAATTTTGAAATTCTATTAACCAAAATGGTTTAGAATGTTAAAAAATTTGCATTCATCTGAAACTGATGCCCACGTAATTTCTAAAAGGAACTAGTTTTGCTTCAAAAATTCTTGGTTTTGACTCGTAAATCGAAACTGGAATTAAAAAATGTGCAATTTAAATTTACAGCTATTTGATTATTTTACAAAATAAAGTTAGCACTTTTTAAAAAGTAAGAAAGTTACCATTTTTATCATATAGATAAAAATTATAAAGTTCAGTGCAAATCGGGATTATACTCACTGGCATCTGCATGTTTATAACGCCCAGTAAATTTGACAGGATTATTCAGGTTTAATAATATTGTGTAAAGCGAACAGGGTTTTTTTTTGAAGTAATGTTTACCAAGATTACAAATTAAAAAGCGTAAGAAACTAAGAAGCTATTTTTGGAATTTTGAAGGGAAATATATAAAAATAGCTGCAGATAAAATTACGTGTACTTATTGGAAATAAATAATATCACATTTCTCATCTATTCTTTCTTTAGTACACTAAACTGAGGCCGAAGTAACACTGTGAGCAGATTTCGAATCCTTCTATAAGTCAAACTTTCACGAAAGAACAATCAATACTCTGAAGACACTTAGGCGTCTATGGAACAGCTTACATTAATTTAGGTTAAAATAACAAGCTGAACAAATATCAATTTAGAAGTCTAACAACAAAAATCAGCGTTATATTTGCAAATTTTCACCCAATATTATTAACCAAGCAGTTAAAAAATTCTCATCTTCACAAACCATAAGGCACTCTTATTTTAGGAGATTATACGAATTTTGTTATCATTCCTTTCTTTCCATTAATTATGCACATATTTTACAGAAATTTAAATTTTGGGTCGCTTATTCTCCTATTAATAAATATTCGATTTCCATACTTAAGGACCCCATACAGATACGAATTCCTGGAGTATTTACAGGGTTCCTTGTCAGTGTGGTTTAATTTACATTGGTCAAACTAAGAGAGTCTTAAAATTTTTTGCGTTAAAGAATACGAGGCATATGTTAGGAAAAAGGAAACACAGAAGTTCTCTGTTGCCTATTGACCTATTGTTGGTCCGAAAATCATACATTCCATTTTTCTGCAGCCAAAATTATTCAAAAAATAACTTTTATTGGTGAATTAGACTTTCTACAGGCGTTTCACATTCAAAACAATCTCTCTGTTCTAGTTAACGACCCTAATTCCAACCCATCTTTTTTGCCTTCGGCCTTTAAGGAAATTATATTTTAACTTCTTTGTTTTATCAGTAAATGGCGCCAGTAGCTTAACTCCTGTCCAGCCATTCTTATCTTATCTTAACTTTTCACTATATCATATCTCGTTCCTTTGCACTTTGGAAGCTGAGGCTGATGGTTCTGTAAAAGCCATTGAAACTAGTCCTTTGAAAATTTGCAAATATAACGCTGATTTTTGTTTTTTGACTTCTAAATTGATTACAGCTTATATTCCCAATGACTTGCCCCATGTTCGGTTTCACACTTTTGAACTTAGCAAGTCTATTTTAACTATTAGCAGCTTTGAAGTGTCTGAAATTCATTGTAATGATGCATCATGATATAGAATTTATGACAAGATTGTGATAATTCACAAGTTTGGTCTAAATGATTTACTTTTGTTCATAATTTAATTACTATAATTGTTAATGAATTAACATAGGTATAAATATTATATTACCTTTTGCATATTGGAAACTTCCCTGGAGTTCTAAGATAATTGCACTGATGAATAGATTATTTATTTAACAGGAATTCGTTAGCTACATTATTTGCGTATTCTTAATTTAGCCAATTAGTTTTTAATATTGCTTATAACTAAAGAAAACACAATTTGCATAACTTTAATTAAATGAATTTTTTTATTTTTTATTTATAATTAATAAAGAGAAACTGCCGCTTACGGGAAGAAATATGATTAAGTTGAACCACAATTTTCTACTTCCTGTTTAAATAATTTTATAAAAACAGATATTATGCTCGTTTATTATTTTCTACCTAAATAACGAGACTGTCTAGTATGCATGTATGTATGTATGTGTGTGATTCTGGCAAAGCTTCGAGGGCCATCTGCCTAAAGTGAAGGATGCCTTCGGGGAGGACTTTCTAAGGGAAACTGGCTCGTATACACGTTACACATGGGGAAAACCACGAAAGCGCCCATGCAGCCAGCCCGTTCGCGGGATTTTCGAAACCTTGGACCGAACTACCAGTGTTCAACGACTTTACCGCTCGGCAGCTGGTGGGCCCACGAGACTGTCTAGACGACAAGAGAAAGATCACGTACGAAAACATAATCGAATTCTGTATCGTTTAGAAATTACTCGAGCAAAATTTCAGATAGACAAGAAATAAATGAGGGGGGGAATTAAGCTGCGCGAATGATAAAAGCAGCTGAAATCGATGTCTAACTAGGACAAAATGATCAAAATATTCGAATATGATCGCAAAACTCAAAAGATACTAAGCTTGTATATTTCTAAAAGGCATTTTGTGCTCTTTTAGTAAATTGGTAAAGAAAAAGGAACTTACGTATGTAAATTTATCGGAATGAAAGATGTAAAATCATGTAAATTAGCTGATATACTTACTCACGTGGGATTGTTCATTTGTTTTTAAAGAAATGGTTTTCACGTAACTCTAAATTTAAATTGAATAGATTGATCAAATGTAAATTTTTGAAATATTGCAGCTGGTTTCATTTCTATTAAAATAAATTAAATAACTGACTTCAAAATAATTGACAACCAAGTACATTGCAGGTATTGAAAGTAAAAAAAAATATTGATATTTCTGTGACTAAAACCAGCTTCAGGCTAATTACTTTTAATACATTCTGGGATTACTAAGTTATTTAGTAATTCAAGGCATTTTGATTGGTAGTTGGTATATCATGTAAGCTTATTTGCAGTATTTATGAATTCAAAGAAAATTGTTTTAATTAATTATTAATTCGTTTAAATAACTAAAGAGCAGCTTTGGATATATGTAATTTTAAAATTATTAAAACTTATTGATTGCTATCAGCTCTTAATTAATTAGCAAATAATTGAATTAAAAGAGTATTTTAGGTCTCTTCTCAATTCGAGATGAAAATATAAAAGGAATGTACAAATTTGAAAGTATAATAAGTTGAATATCGTGAATATTTCCAGCTAAGAACAGATTTTAAGAGCTATGGTTTTAATTTAATTTAATAACAACTTTAAAATGTGAGATATATATTAACCAGTCTGTTGATTTTCAGATTATCTCCAAGGATACATGTAATAAATATATTTGTTTCCTTCTGGTTGAAATATTTAAACTGAGATAAGCATGCAAAGAAATTACTTCGTATTTAAAATCTTATCCCATTTAAGAACTAATAATTCTACTATTTAACGAGAGCTTAAATTCTAACATTTCAATTACTTTTCTCAGTGCATTTATCACTTATTTGCTACGAAACAGTTTAATAACATTTTTATTTTCATTAATATAATTAAATTAATGGCAGCATAAATAAAACTTGAACCGAAATTAAATCGATAGTGATATGAGATTGCAATGTAAAATGAAAGTAAGTATTTATTAAATCTACTGCTATTTAACTAATACTTAAAGAGTTATATATTAAAAAATGAAAGCTATATTCATGATCCAATAATGTAATAGATGTTTGCATCTAAATTGCACTGCGTGGTGTAGAAAATATTAAATGATATGAAACTTTTAACATGAAACATTGTTGTTACGCTACGTTACCCCTTGCAACTTTTAAACAATTAA